TTAGTATTCATGTCATCAAAATCAACATGGCTGATTGTTTCCTCCCCAGCAACCTAATTGATGCTACATTCAACATCACAATCTGTATTCTTTAAGCTTCCATTGGCATTTATTGGGACAGCTGAACTTAATCACTTGAATGCTTGCTCTAGTCAGAGGTGGAAAATGTTTAAATTGTGGATTATTTGAATATGCTGACAATTGTTTTATAAAGTATCCTGCGGATGCCACAATACATTGATGCATAGATACTTTTTTAAGACAATACAATTATCGATACATTAAAAACTGTTTCCATATTTAGTTTTGAAAGTATATCGGTTTAAATATGTTTATGTATCATTTACATTTTGCAATTGTATCATATTTTTTGATGTTATGAGAGAATCGTGACATGGGTATCGTGATACGTATCGGTTCATGAAACTTATGTATCGTGACATCCTTAAAGTCTCCACATTACATACTTTAGAAACGACTGATACAAAGACGTGTCTTGAACATGTACATTATGAAGACAAATTCAAGCACCTGTAGGAAGATGTAATATAATGTATTAAAATGAGTAGTGACTCTCTTGATAAACTTCAGTTCAACAGCTTATGAATGGAACGAAGAAATGGTTATAGTCAAACATAAACAGCTTTATGTGTATAGTGGAGGTACCTTGACTTAAAAAGCAAGCAGTAAAGGAAGGTTAACCCACATTCACATGCAAAACAAGTACTTATGAGATGCCAGTCACCTTAACACATTTATACATGTGGAATTTGCCTCTATTCCAATTTACTGGCCTACTCTGACCTACCAGCTGCCCACTGTAGATATAGAACATAGTGTGAAAACATCAGATACTTTAATGCTGTAAGTACCCTACTTAATGTAACTTGATGTCAAACTGAAAACTGATGCATGACCATGTGCTGCCATATCAAATGTTGAATGCTGTGCTCAAATATTGTTACAATATAGTTGAACCTAGATTCAATAGATGCCACTAGTATGAGAATCCAATAGAATGTTTTTGTATGGTGGCAAATTTGAAATAAAGCAAAACAACCACAGAAATTACTTAATCTCATAGGGTGCACTTTAAGCCTCAGTCACACATTCAGGATTTTTACTGCCGTCCTTGAAAGGACCATTGGCAATTAAATTTGGCAAAATTCTGATCAAGTTCCTGTGGTTCATGGCAGGAAATAAACAAATTTGAAAAAAACATTTGTTTAATCAAGACAACAATCAGGTATTGCTCAAGAAGCGTCCTGAATCTGCCGTTTCCAGCCAAATTGGTCCTGATTCTCCCGTCATTCTCAATCCAATATCATCCAATTTGTATCTTCCGCATGTTAAAAAACAACCGAATCTGTCACAACAGTAAGGCTGTAACGATTCACTTGTATATTCGGTGAATCGAACCGTAGCCCTTCATGAATTCAATTTGTTATTCGTGGTCACCAGAACCGAATATTAACGAATATTTACGATTTTTAAGGGAGCATGTTTTACTTGAACCCTTGTGTACTTTTGGAAAGTGAGATATGCAAGAATTCAATATGTACTAGTCTTGAGTAGAGCAAGTCATGTTAGTTTGCCAAGACTGCACATGGTACTGTCGATTATAACTATTACTGGTTATTGCTGTGACAAATCAAAACTGTCAACATGGGCATTCCATATTGTACATCAATCACTTAAGTACAATATTGTATTCGTGAATAATTAATCGTATTCGTTACCCACTATTCATGATACGTATCATATTCGACACATAGTGTATTCGTTGCAGCCCTACACAACAGTGTCCCGATTCTCCCGAATGCAATCCGATAGAGATCAGACAGTGATCCAACTCTGGTTGACATTTGGCAAGATCTGGACACAATCAATCAGCAAGAAACGGCAATTAAAAGTTTCTCCAAATCATGCCCGTTCATCACAAAAGTGTTCTGATCTACAGGAAACCGTCCAGACAGCAAAGGACATTGTTACAGAATCTGTCACGACATAGTCACGATTGTAATGCGACTTACACAAATTCAGCTCAGTTTCCTGAATGTTGCGGGACACACCTACTGCCGTGAGTCCTTGACCAACCTCTCTGGATCTTTCCTGATCCGTAGAACTCTGTTACGAATGTATACAACTGCATTCAGACAATGATGTGACGTTCCAGATCATTGAGGATAGTTATCCAACTTTTTTCACTTTTCGTTTAGTAGCCCTGCCTGATCTCAAATGGGAGCCATAATCAGCACTAGGTGAATGCCACATTAAGCTGCACTCTTTGAAAACGAAAAGATTGTGTATTGCAGTGTTCACGAATAGCATCTGACCCTCTGACAAATCTGGCAGATTTGCCAACGGTCCGACAGTAGTCTACAACCCGCCAGCCCCAGTGTCTGACTGTATATTTCACAATTACTTTGACTGAAGTTTTATATGTGACATGTGTCACTTGTTTGCTGTTTATAAATCTTATGTTTGTTTATAATTTCAATGCCAATTATAAGAAATGTTAAATCTGAAATGTGTGTTTAATTTTATTCTATGGGTCCTGTGAATTTTCAATGGGTCAGACAGACATCTGAAACTTACAGGACCCAATGTCCTGTTACTTTGAAACACCATTTTGTGAACACTGTATTGTAAGGTCTGATGTTTACTACAGTGAGAGGGCCCTAATATTTCCCATGAACAGTTTGGTACAGTGAATGTTACAGTGTGTCCATCTGTATGCAACAAACTCTTTTTTCCTGAAACCATTCTAAAACCTGCATGTAATTGCAGTTTTCATATTTGTGTTTCAGTTGCTCAAGAGCAACACCATAGGTTTGTAGCACTGTGACATTTGTTTGAATGACCTTCATTGCGTCACCACTAACATACTAGCGCAACTGAAGCAATTTATTATGTAGCAGGTGCTTTGTCATCCTCGATAATCTCCAGGGTTTACGTTACAATCACTCTCCACCATACCCTGGCTGCATCCACGGCTTGGCCCGATAATTATATTACCTCCCTTTGCTGTCACCAAGGGTCAGGGTTAGTTGTCACCAAGGGTCAGGGTAAGTTGTCACCAAGGGTCAGAGTTAGTTGTCACCAATGGTCAGGGTTAGTTGTCACCAAGAGTCTGGGTTAGTTGTAACCAAGGGTCAGAGTTAGTTGTCACCAAGGGTCAGAGTTAGTTGTCACCAAGGTTCAGGGTTAGTTGTCTCCAAGGGTCAGAGTTAGTTGTCACCAAGGGTCAGAGTTAGTTGTCACCAAGGTTCAGGGTTAGTTGTCACCAAGGGTCAGGGTTAGTTGTCACCAAGGGTCAGAGTTAGTTGCCTGCAAGGGTCAGGGTTAGTTGTCACCAAGAGACAGGGTTAGTTGTCTCCAAGGGTCAAAGGGTCAGGGTTAGTTGTCACCAAGAGTAAAGGTTAGTTGTCACCAAGGGTCAGAGTTAGTTGTCACCAAGGGTCAGGGTTAGTTGTCACCAAGCGTCAGGGTTAGGATAGAAGCAAGGGCAGCAGGTAGGTGGGTCTGTGATGTGTGGGATAGAAGCAAGGGCAGCAGGTAGGTGGGTCTGATGTGTCGGAAAGAAGCAAGGACAGCAGGTAGGATAGAAGCAAAGGGCAGCAGGTGTGGGTCTGTGATAGAAGAAGCAAGGGCAGCAGGTAGGTGGGTCTGTGATGTGTAGGATAGAAGCAAGGGCAGCAGGTAGGTGGGTCTGTGCTGTGTGGGATAGAAGCAAGGGCAGCAGGTAGGTGGGTCTGTGATGTGTAGGATAGAAGCAAGGGCAGCAGGTAGGTGGGTCTGTGATATGTAGGATAGAAGCAAGGGCAGCAGGTAGGTGGGTCTGTGATGTGTGGGATAGAAGCAAGGGCAGCAGGTAGGTGGGTCAGTGATGTGGTGGGATGTGTGGGATAGCAAGCAAGGGCAGCAGGTAGGTGGGTCTGTGCTGTGTGGGATAGAAAGCAAGGGCAGCAGGTAGGTGGGTGTGTGCTGTGTAGGATGGGATAGAAGCAGGTAGGTGGGTCTGTGCTGTGTGGGATAGAAGCAAGGGCAACAGGTAGATGGGTCTGTGATGTGTGGGATAGAAGCAAGGGCAGCAGGTAGGTGGGTCTGTGATGTGTGGGATAGAAGCAAGGGCAGCAGGTAGGTGGGTCTGTGCTGTGTAGGATAGAAGCAAGGGCAACAGGTAGGTGGGTCTGTGATGTGTAGGATAGAAGCAAGGGCAACAGGTAGGTGGGTCTATGATGTGTGGGATAGAAGCAAGGGCAACAGGTAGGTGGGTCTATCATGTGTGGGATAGAAGCAAGGGCAGCAGGTAGGTGGGTCTGTGATGTGTGGGATAGAAGCAAGGGCAACAGGTAGGTGGGTCTGTGCTGTGTGGGATAGAAGCAAGGGCAGCAGGTAGGTGGGTCTGTGATGTGTGGGATAGAAGCAAGGGGCAACAGGTAGGTGGGTCTGTGCTGTGTGGGATAGAAGCAAGGGCAACAGGTAGGTAGGTGGGTCTATGATGTGTGGGATAGAAGCAAGGGCAACAGGTAGGTGGGTCTGTGCTGTGTAGGATAGAAGCAAGGGCAGCAGGTAGGTGGGTCTGTGATGTGTGGGATAGAAGCAAGGGCAACAGGTAGGTGGGTCTGTGATGAGTGGGATAGAAGCAAGGGCAACAGGTAGGTCTATGATGTGTAGGATAGAAGCAAGGGCATTAGGTAGGTGGGTCTATGATGTGTGGGATAGAAGCAAGGGCAGCAGGTAGGTGGGTCTGTGCTGTGTAGGATAGAAGCAAGGGCAGCAGGTAGGTGGGTCTGTGATGTGTAGGATAGAAGCAAGGGCAGCAGGTAGGTAGGTGTGTCACTCAACACATCAACCGAGTGGTAAAGTTGAAGACCTGTTGAGGACCTGTATATCTTCATGTTTCATTTATTGCTTCATTTAGCTGAAATATTCTGATACATCTGATAATGATAGACCTACACATATGATGTACAAACTGAGCCCCTGACTCTCAGTTTCAGCTCATTGACGCTGTGAAGACATGGACAAGAGAGATACAAACAATGGCGCCTATTATGTGGCAGCAAACTTTGAGTCCCAGCTGCCGTCGCCAACTAAGTCCAAGTCCGATGATGAGAATACGGAACGAGGAAACTGGTCCAACAAGATGGACTTCGTCTTGTCATGCCTCAGTTATGCAGTCGGCCTTGGCAATGTGTGGAGATTCCCATATCTATGTTACAGGAATGGAGGAGGTAGGTTCAGTCAGGCTCTGTGAGTAGTGAAACCCTATGGCATCACAAGTCATGTGAAACATGTTTGCATAAGTACTGAATTTGCCTCGTGATTTTATTGCTCAGTCATTTGACAACAATATCAAGAAGGGATGGTTATGCATATATTTTGTGGGGTGGAAGGGGACCCAGGGTTAAATAAGGGGTCCTAGGATTATATAAGGGGTCCCAGGGTTACATCTCAGTTGTTATGTTGTCCGTCTGGTGAGTGACAGGAGGTGTATGGCTGATGTAGACCCTGTCGGCCACTGGGGTAATGAGAGTGCTGAGAGTGAGATATTCATGTCACAAAGAGTCTAGAAGTTATGATACATCTGTTCCTATAAGCATCATTTCTAATACTATGGAAACAATAAACACCAGTACATGTTGCAAATATCTATAAGTTGGACATCATCAGTTACAACATTAACACATGGTATATTTGGGATAACACTTTCGTAGTAAAGTACAGATTCTAGTACTTTTTGGGTTGAGTGCCATCCGGGATTCAAACCCACACCCTCAGAGTCAGGCACCTAATCGCCAGCACACAAAGTCAGACGCCTAGACCGCTCAGCCACCGCGGCTTCTGTGCTTTACTAAGAGAGTGTTATCCCAAATATAACATATGTTACATTTGACCTCTTTTTAAAATGGCATTGTGTATTTCATAGCTTTCGGCTGTGGGAGCCGTGCCAATTTGCACTTATCAGAGGGGTACACAAAGTCCGCAGTCTAGACTACCAGTTGTTCGACTTACATTTTTGTGGAAGTCACGGTGGCTGAGCGGTCTAGGTGTCTGACTTTGTGTGCTGGCGATTAGGTGCCTGTCTCTGAGGGTGTGGGTTCGAATCCCGGATGGGACTCAACCCAAAGAAGTACTAGAATCTGTACTTTACTAAGAAAGTGTAATCCCAAATATAACGTGTTACATTTGACCACATTCTAAAATGGCATTGTGTATTTCACAGTTACAGCATTGCCTACAGTCACTATCTGGGCCCCATTTCACAAAGCGATCGTAGCGCTAGGGTGATTGCAACTCCCATTCTTTAACATAGACATAGCGCAGTAAACCATTTACCCTTCCTTAGCTACAAGTTTGATCTTGTATATATTACATGAATCACAACATAACCTATTGTCTGGGCATCAGTAGCATGGGATTTGGCATGTTGCCAATGTGTAAATGCGGAAACTAGCTCTTTGGGGAAGCAAGGACAACATTGTCTTCACTGTTCCACAATGTTTAATAAATGATAGGTGCAGTATCCACGTAAATTTACACAAATATTTATGTGAAAACTCAATTCCTATTAAGTCTAGTGCGTACAATTAAGCTTGGAATTTTGTAAATACTCAATAAATATGATCTTACATGCGTACAAAGATGTGATGGAGGTTACTGAGGACAGATAAAATGACTGAGGTATATTGAGAGGTTCTATTTCAGCACACGAACATGGCAACTTGCAGTCTTCCTTATCATTTCTTATATTACAGATCAAATATAAATAACCAACATGTAAACCAGCATTAAAACTTTACTTTATTTTTACAATTAATGGAAAATGGCAAAATAACCAATTGAGTTTGAGTGAGGTGGGTACAATTTATTTGATTACTCAAAGGAAAATTAGGATACCCACTCTAAATGAACAAAAGCAAGTACATAACTCAATGACCCAAAAAGTTATCTGTAGCTCTGCGATAAATAACAAGTGCACAGTGAGTGGAGTTCTAGGCCCAAACATAAATGAGGTGAACGGATTTCCATCTCATCCAAAGGGCGGCGCTTCCTACAAGCAGCACATCCTGCTTGTGGTATTCCTAACACAGGCAGTCAGAATACCAGACTGTCTAACAGTGTTACTGAAAACCCCAACATCCTATTCAAATAAAACAGTATTTTCTCTTCACAAAGATATTTGTTTGCAAAATTTGTGATCTCACTAGTTTTTCTCTATATGGTTTCTTTAAAATGCCGCTATCCAATGTAGATTGAATGAAGAAAATACTCGAACGAAAAGTACTGGCAATGGCATTGATGATTAACAGATTTGTTGTTAACGTGTTGTTCAGTTTTGAAATTTTCAATTTCATGTGGAGGTTTGTGAAGGATATCATCTCAGTTTACTATTCCTTTTTTGTGATTTTTATGAAGTCATTTTGTGATATTGTCAAGTTATGTTAGCTTAACGTTGTTGACTTGTGATGACTGAAATTCCCAGAATGCAAAGAAGTCTAAAACACTTTTGTATTTTTCATACTTGTTTATTATAGTTATGACATTACTTCATGGTCCAAGTCATTCAAAATCATTAAACAAGACGATCGGATTAATTAGTTACTAGGGGTGGGTATTGCTGAGAATTTTCATATTGCGATATATTGCGATGCGAAAGCATGTATTGCGATATGTATTGGGATGAAGTATTTTTAAACCAAAAACTACTTATAATCGAGTTACTTCTTGATTTATAGAGCAAAAACACAACAAAATCACTAGGCTTGATTAAGCTTTAATAACAACTTTTAATCATGATAAAATAAAAATGTGAATAATATTTGGCACAAATGAAACAAGGACATATCCGAACATTTCCAAGTGTTACGAAGTCTTCCGAATGCAAGTCAAAATACCGGTTTTCGATCAGCGTATCGCAAAACGTATCGTGTTCATGTCTGAACCGGTTATATTGCGCAGCCCTATTAGTTACGGTAGTAGTTACCGCAGCACGGTATACCGTGAGAATGTGATGTTGTGCAGGACATAACGACTTGTTGATGTGAATAGTTCAGGGGATATTCAAATTAGGCTACATACATCATGATGTAGGTTTGAGTAATTAATGGAAAGCACAGATTGTCTGACAAGTACATACAATGCAGTAATGATGAGAATTAACAATGAAGATTCTGTATGCTACGGTGTCTGGGTGAAATGTAAAAGTTCACTTAAGAAAAAATGTTGACGTTCTGTCCATTTGACCTTATACCAATTAACATTGTTTTCACAAGGCGATAATTCGGATTATGCGAATGCACAGACAACAGGAGAAAAGTACTATATTTCATCCATTTTATTTCACATACAAAATTGTCCAACATGAAGTAGGTGAGATGCAGCATCTGCAAACTCTCTGGTGCTGATTTAGTCCACTCCATATCTTAGGATGTCTAGGCGACGTTCCAAGTCCCTGTATTTCTTTTTCTTCAGACATTTTTGATTACATACACAGTGCCATTTAGAAAGTGGTCAAATGTAACATATGTTGTATTTGGGATTACACTTTCTTAGTAAAGTACAAATTTTAGTTCTTTTGTTGGGTTGAGTCCTATCCGGGATTCGAACTCACACCATCAGAGTCAGCCACCTAACCCGCTCAGCCACTGCAACTTCCATAAAGACATTTTTTTCCACTGCCGAACTGCATCAGGCAGACGTCACTGTGAGTCTGCTTCTCAGAAAGAAATTTGATTATTTCAAAAATAATAGGGTAGGCCTTTCCCACCAATCTCTTCAGACGAGAGTGCCATCCTTCCAGATGGTTGTTGGTGCGGGGGGCCGTCAGAATCATGGTTGTTCCACTGGGATCTATGGAAGTCACCCTCGATATCTGGGTTGTCGGGCATGGTCGCTAATGTGTCCAACCATAGCTCCTCAGCATATAAATATATAGAAAATACCATTGATTAATACAATGCATGATATATCTACATAATGTTTACATCACCAACATCCTTGATAAACACAAACTCTTGCTCCATCATCAAACACTGAAACCTCAAAATCTGGGTGTTCAATTTTAGGATATATACATTTCAATATTCATCACAGTTACTGTATACCACCATGTATAAAGTGATCTGTTACCTGAGGGTGTCGGGGTGTTATACCCTTATTTCCTAGGCAAGCTGTCTAGCCACTCTGGTTCTGGGGAAGATGTAGCTAAGATGAATAGTGAAAGATAAGTCCAGTATGGTGTTCAAGTCCATTTATTTTGGAATGAATTCTTTCACAAAGGTCCTCAGATATTTCCTAGCTTTCCTGGTTTACATGCAACACAGATTCACAAATCTCCTGGAAGAACTGGTTGGTTTCTTGCACAACTCCTAAAGTTACAATTTCATCTGAGCCATTCTCTCTATATACAGAGAGAACCTCCCAAGTCAACGGTGGGGCCCAGAGTCGCATCTCTTCCCCTCGAAATGTGTGAAAATTAACTTGACTTCAAATTTTCCTTAAATATTTATAAAATGCATATAATGTTTTCAACTCTAAATATCCTGGTTATAGATCCCACCTCCAACTTAGAGTCCAAGCCCACCCTTTCGTACAAACCTTCAAAATCAATGCTAATTTGTATACCCCGGCCGTGTATAATGCGACGCTGAACGAAGAACATCATCAGAGCATGCATGAGCCCTAAATTTGTAATGAATATATGTTTGTGCTTGGCCGTGTAGAACTCCAGCACGTGGCTCCATTTTGTATGTTGAGAAGGTGCAACACCAGATTGGTGACATTAATAATATTCTGTCCATTTAATTTCTGAAGTAATAGACTATAAGTGAGATGAAGACTCAGTGTTACTTTTTTCTAACTATGATGTGTTCATCAAACAGTCTTTGATAAACACTTTTCTAACTATGAGGTGTTCATCCAACAGTCTTTGATAAACACTTTTCCAAATATGAGGTGTTCATCCAACAGTCTTTGATAAACACTTTTCTAACTATGAGGTGTTCATCCAACAGTCTTTGATAAACACTTTTCCAACCATGAGGTGTTCATCCAACAGTCTTTGATAAACACTTTTCTAACTATGAGGTGTTCATCCAACAGTCTTTGATAAACACTTTTCCAAATATGAGGTGTTCATCCAACAGTCTTTGATAAACACTTTTCCAACTATGAGGTGTTCATCCAACAGTCTTTGATAAACACTTTTCCAAATATGAGGTGTTCATCCAAC